TTTTTCATATTATGATGCACAACTGTGCAACATGTTTGCAGCTGGTGAAACATCTGGACTGTAGGCAGAGTCTTTAGTAGTTTAGCATTGTCTTGCTAAAATATGCACAGCTTTCCCTGAACAAAACATTACATACATGGGAGCATTTATTGCTCTAAAACCTGTGTATACATTTCAGCACTGGCGGTACCTTTCTAGATGTACAAGCTGCCAATTCCGCAGGCACTGATGTACCGCCATACCACTAATGGCTATGAGCACTAATAACAAGGTTGATTGTCCTCTTTAGTATGTAGAAAGTTTTATCTGTTTTTTTTTTTTAAAGAATTCTGAAATAGTTCCTATAGATATATATAGATACACATGTATAAAATATTAAGATGTAATTCTTGGCCCGATAACAGTAACTATTTGTGACATTTTGCTTATTTTGAAAAAGTATATATTACACCTTAAATAAAATGCTATTACAAAGTAAGTTCTACAGCTGTATCTTATTTATATTCTGGCAAATGCCTTTGCCTTCTAGTGGCTAACATATGTTAGCCACTAACTTTGCACATTCTGTTTAATCATGTATGTGCTTAAAGTCATTTTGGATTAGGGCTGAGTTTATAGGATTAGAACTTTCCACTAGCTGGATGGAGCCTTAAATAGATCAACCTGAAGCTGTCAGTGCTTCAGAGCTGTGGGAGAATCGCTGTTTGACAGCAAAATATTTCAGCGATAGGACCATTTCTGTTCCAGACGTGCAGGTAGGTGTAGTATTGTTGACTGGAATTAACAGCAATGTATTTTTAACATTTCAGCATTTATCTTCATCAATTTTATTCTGTTAAGTCTTTATCTTTTATTTTTTTGCCTCTGTGGGCTTCACACTATCTATGAAAACAGATGAGAATATTAGAGAGGACATTTCTGTCAGTGAAAAGATTTCCTGCATGTTTGTATATTGAACCATCAGAAAACAACAGCAGATTTGTTTATTGATTATACCTTAAATTAACACTGTAGAGCAGATAGAAGAAAACAGAAAACTGATGTTTTTAAATCATCAAAAAATACTGGGTACAGCTCTTTAGTAAGTCGTTTTCTCCTCCTTTCTGTTAGCCCAAAGTTATTATTGAGTTTGATTCATGGTTGCTTTTTCAAAGCTACCCTTTATCAATTTGCCAGCTGTGATAATCTCTATTTTTATACTTCAGAAAGATAATAAAGTGTTTTAGAGCTGTATTCTTTTCTTTTTCTTTTTTTTTTTTTTACAAAATATTCACATTAACTTTCTATTTCAAACATTTTTAAGGCCTTTTTAAATAATTGTACTTTTTGTCTTTCTTTAGCAATGGCTGATGTCTTCAGAGGCCTAAACCTCCTTGAAACCCTTAAGGAATCTATTGAGAGCAATAGGTTATCAGATGTTAAGGACGCAGTGGAAGACCTCCTTATCAGCAGGATCAATTTGGGTGTGGTGGGGGACCGTGGGGAAGAAAAAGCCTCTTTCATGAACTCCCTCCGTGGTCTTGGGGCTGGCGATGAGGGAGCAGCTCCTTCTCCAGCTTCTGTTCCTCCAGATGGTTTAGCAGGCTACCCTGACCCCAAACACCCTGACTTTCGCCTGTGGGACCTGCCACCTGTTCCAGACATATCTCCATTTGAACCAGAGGGATACATGGATAGATATAAGTTCCTCCGCTACAATGCAGTCTTTATGACATCCACACAGACAGTCCAACCCAACAGTGTAGATGTTTTCTTGGAGGCCCTTTCCCTGCAGCGACAAACGGTGTATTTCATTCTCTTAGCTTCAGTTAAGGACTCAGAAAAGATCCTGGAAGAAAAAAAGAAAGCCAGTCTGGAAGTGCTGAAATCAAAGGGTATGGCACAGCCTAAAGTCTACCTGGTCGGACCAGCTGCCCTGGAGAAGTTTGACTTCCCTACTCTATTAGCAGATATGAGTAATGATCTTCCAGAGATCCGAGCACACGCCCTTGTCTTAGCTCTACCAACACTCACCTCAGCTCTGGTCACTCAAAAAAAGGAAGCATTCAAAGCACTAGTATGGGCAGCTGCCTCACTGTCAGGTGGGGTATCAGCAATTCCTGTTCCCCTTGTTGCATCCATGGTGGACTCAAGTATAGGAGTGCGAATCTTGACCAAAGCACGGTTATCTCTTTGCCTGGATGATGAATCCGTGGAGCGATTAGCCCAACAGCGAGGCATGGAACCTACAAAACTTAAAGAGTTACGAAACTCTGTGTTGTCAGTGGAGGTTAGCAAGGGTGAAGTGAAAAGGAGGTTGGCGGCAGCAGAGAAGGACTTGGCCACTGTTTCGTCGAAGCTGCTGGAGATGGCGATGCCTAGAAATGCCCGTTCAGTCAGCCGCTCCTTTGCTGCTATGCTGCGGGCTTTAAACAGTGCTATTGATGAGATGGCAGCTGATGCTCAAAACATACTAGCGGCTGTTCATGCAAAGGGGAAATGAAGGCAAATGTTTGGGGTTTTTAATGTTATGTTCAAAAGTGTATATTTTTCATTTATAGTACAAAAGTACACTGTTAACACCATGTGAGCATAAATTCTGCAAATAAACGCCAAGCACTTTAAGATTATCTGTTCCTGTTATGAATAAATACATAAAATAAGCTTTCACTTTTAATAGTTGGCTCTTTAAATAGATGAAGTGGGAGGAACTGAATGTGTACTGTAACAGGCATGTTGAAAATTTCGCCTTCAGATTCTCCTCTAGCTTGACTGGGCATGCAAATATTTTCAAGATTTTAAGTCAACTGTGAAAACTTCCTTTTTGCTACTTTAGAAGAGATCATGCATTCTGCATACTGTAAGTGGGTCCTCTAAGGTAAGAATACGCTTTTTTGTACTTTTTATGAAAAGCTCTTCTACACTTCTTCTACTTATGAACTCAGTTGATAAAGTTATCTCTGTCAGCAATCGTTGTCCTTTTCAAACATTTCATTAACCACAAAGGTACCAAAAAATGCAATAGCTGTCTCAAAGCTGTAAAAAAAAATTTCAAAGTAGCTGATTTGGATTAACCACTAAATGCTACTTTGTACATTATGACTTGATTGCATTAAAAATGTTCTGGGATCTGCCAAAGTGTGTACAAATTATTGTTTATTTTTTCTATTGCAGAGACCAGGCTTTAGCCCATTGTGAAAATGAACGCTCATACTTTTGACTGGTTGCTGTTGCTGACTCTAATAAAAAGTAGGTGTTTTATGAGTCCTTGATGAGAACTTTTTTCAACATCTCCACTGGGGTCACATTTGTTAACAAACTTCCACTCTTTCTCTCATCACTATAGGTTTTTCTTGTAACCCCTTCAGTCTAAAAGACTCTATCCTGACAGCTACAGAAGGGTCCTGCATTGAAATTGAATGCACGGTTTCAACAGTGGTCGACTTTAATAATGCATACTGGTTTTGGATGAAAGACCCAGTATATGAAAACCGACAATATAATGCCACTATCATTTACAGTTCATCGAAAACAGAACGTCCTGTCAATCCACAGTTTGTAAACAGAGTCAAATATGTTGGCTCTGAAGATACAAAATGGAAAAATGTTCCTTCAGGCTCACCAGAGAAATGCAGTGTTTTGATCCACGACCTAAAAATAACTGACAGTGGAAACTATTCTTTTAGATTTGTAGGAGAAGGTACTTATAAATGGGTAACTAAGCCATTTACAAGCCTCACAGTTGCAGGTAAGTACAAAGATCAGAATACTGAAAATAATTTACATATACTTAAATTTATACTCTATACTTACTCTATGACTATAGAGTTTTTAAAATGCATTTTTATTAGAATGGAAAAATTGTGGCTTAATAATAATAAAATAAACTGGAAAATGTTAACATTTTTACTTAGCAAAGATGCCTTGACACATATTTTATTTTGATAAAATGGTAAAAATAAAACTACAATACTATCTCTCCACTTTTCACATCTATTTGGCCTTTTCATGAAAACCAGAAATAAATTGAATGATCATTTCAGTAATGCTCTCTCTTGTCATATTTTTTTTTTTAAGTTTATCGTATTACCTATTATATTATTCTTGATGTTGTCTTGTATTGGCAGATAATCCATGTCTACTCACTTTTGAGGAACCAAAAACTGTTACTGAAAATGACAATGTAACACTTACTTGCCACACACTGACCTCGTGTACTTCAGACCCAGAAATCAAAGCTTTGGGACCACTTTCGCCATCATTAATACAATCAAAAAAAAGTCCTAATACAGCCACACTGAGTTTTAAAGTCACTTGGGAGGATGATGGGAGGATGTTTTCATGCCAAACAGAGAACAATACAGATCCATGTTTGATTCGGAATATCAGCCTCACTGTAGGATGTAAGTTCATAACCAGAAATGTTTTCTACTGAAGTGTGGACATAATTACTAATTATGCATAAGATATGAATGAGGTTGAATGAAGGGTCCAACATGGACTAAAATAATTAAATTGTTACTTTATTAGGAAATTGGTTTAATGAACAATAAAAATTTCAACTCTTTGTTAGCTGGTATTATTTCTCTTAAAAAAAAAATAATTATCTGCAAAAAATCTGTTAATTCTGTGTCAGAATCAGATTAGAAGAAAGTGATAAAATTTTCTAAGTTGATTTAAGATCTACCACCAGAAAATGATCTTGTTCTGCTACAAGATGAAAAATAGAAAAGTTTTTCTGTTTTTTCTAAGTCATTTCAGAAAACCTGAATTGGTACAGTGTGACACCTGCGTTGTAATAAATGTGATTAGCTATTTTCACCTTGCTGCATTTGTGAATATATGGATGTATCTGAAATCCAATACTTGTTCTATTCTGTATATTTCATTTGTGTAAACAATCAACACACTGTGTACCTGTATGCACACTATTTGCTAATCTGTATTGATTTGCCTTTTGAACAGATGCTCCCAAAAACATGTCTGCAAATATAAGCTCTAACGTTGTAAAGGAAGGAGAGTCTGTCAGTTTCACTTGCTCTGCTAAAGGACAACCTGAGCCCACTTTTAAATGGACTAAAGATGGTCGAGATCTTGACTCAAATGCCAATTGGATGATCTCATCAATTAATGCATCACAGAGTGGATCATATACCTGTAAAGCTGAAAACAAACATGGGAGTAAAGACTTAGTGGTGACTGTCGAGGTTATTTGTGAGTATTGTTTCACATTAATTATGTTGATCTATTCTTACAAATTTTTAGCAAATGTCATCATACCTGAAGGCCTTTTAATGGGTTTGTATCTCAGTGGTTTAAACTTATGTTGGTGCAGTTTAAGATATTGTCGTTGTATTTGGCATAAGCCTTTATTTTTTTATGAGAATCCTGAATTTTAGCATTTTTTAGTTCTGATTTATCAGCCCAGTATTTTCAGCGCTGATTATTACAATGAATCAACTTTACCAAATACTCTTCTGTTATAGATCCCCCTGATGTTGACATAGTGATTTCACCGGAGCCTGAAAGAATGACAAAAACTATTATACAAGGAGATAAAGTCACTTTTACATGTTCTGTTAAAAGAAGCAACCCATCACCAGACTCTTTTACTTGGCTGAAAGACACAAAAGACAAAACACATATTGATTCAAAACAGATAACTGTTAAAAACATACAGCCAGAAGACAGTGGTAAATACACATGTAGTGCCAGGAACACTGTGGGCTCTAGATCAAAAACTCTTCAACTTACGGTTCAATGTAAGTTTTACACCTCTGTGTTCCATATGTCTATGAACATAACAGAGAAAATAAAAATAAATTAGTGCTGATGCTGTATTGACTGTTTTAGTATCAAAAATATTCCAAAAACTATTTATTGTTTTCCAGACAAACCAAGGAAAACTACCATTTCTATCCATCAAACAAGTGTGAAAATTAATACAGCCTCCGCATTCACTTGTTTAACTGATGCATATCCAGCCCCTTCAAGCTATTCCTGGTTCCATTATAAGCAGACTGACATCTCCCAGAAGAAGATGCTCATGGTTTTCAAAGAAACTCTTCACTTAGAAAAAGTAAAAAGAGCAGATGAAGGATGTTACATATGCAACGCGAGCAACAGCATTGACACAGGGAACACTAGTAAGCCAGTGTGCATAGAAGTGTTGTGTAAGTACTCTGCTGACATATTAAAGTTTCTCTGCACTTTGTTTTAGGACTGAATTCACTTTATCAATCAGTACCATCAAAAAAAAAATGCATACATGCTTTTTCAGATCAATGTGATTATTACTGTTGTAGCATAGCGTTAGATGAAGCTGCACTTGCCTAATGACAATTACTTAGTATGTTAACTGTCAAGCAAACTTGTCGGTGTCAAATTAAATATTGTAACCCAAGTAAAAGCTCAAATTTGACTTAAACTGCAACTTTTATACAAAGAAAATAAAAACATACTGCGTCATTTAGTGAATGCTGGTTCAGAATAGAGCTGACATTCTGTTTAAGGACTGATCTTGTAATATCATTCAGCATGTTAAAAATGATGCTCACAGGTGCTTCCTCTCCACAGTTCCTCCCAATAATACCAATCTGTACATGACTGAGTTGGTCACTGAAGGTGAGCCTGTCGAAGTCAACTGCTCTGCTGAAAGTTTCCCACCGCCAACTTTCACCCTGGCAAGATATTCTAAATCAAATTCTCAGACTCCAGAACGGAGTTTACCTTTAGACAACTCCTACAAATTTAAGGCAACTTCAACAGACGCAGGCTTTTACACCTGCAAGGCCTCAAACAGCGAAGGAAACCAGTGGAGCTCAGAAAAGCAACTGGTGGTGAAATGTAAGCAATTGAGTGATGCATGTCTTTCTCATATATATGTTACATCCAACACAATTATATTCTGATAATATTCAATCATCTAATAACTGGACGACAACTTCAACTGAAATGTAATTTTAGTACAATTTCTCAGGCAGCAAAGTTTAGCTGTTCCATACTTTCAAGCTCCTATTTTTTGTTTTTGTTTTTTTACAAAAGACACATCATCAGCTCAGGAAACAGTGTTCAAGAAGCATGGGGCATTGTTGTAATATATTAACTACTGTTGTTTTTCTTTATTAGCAGATTAGATTATTTTACTGCTGAATTTTGGCTATAATAGAATTTGAGTTGTGAATAATTTAAATATTAAGGTTATGATTTTACAGAAAGACCTTGTGATTAAAAACAAACAAATAAAAAGATCATCTCATTTCTTTGTTTATAATTTGCGTTAAATGCAGATAGCCCCAGAGAGGTGAAAATAACAGGTCATCCTGCTCTTATTGTAAAAGAGAATGAGTCATTAACACTGGATTGCAGTGCCAACTCGTACCCATCCGTAAGCTTCTTCACCTGGATGAAGATGATCGATGGGACGACGGAAACCACTATAAGCACTGGGACACCGTTCATTGTGGATTCTGCCAGTGTCTCTGACAGCGGGAAGTACCGCTGTACGGCCGAAAATGAAATTGGAACGGGGAAATCAGTGCAAGTTGAAGTTAAAGTTAAGCGTGAGTACACTTGACTATTTCAGTCATTGTTTCTCACCAACAACAGAGTATCCACACGTCTGATACTTTGCTTTGTAATTATTTACTCGTTTCATCTACACTTCAAATATGACATGGACTCTAACAAGTGGTTGATTTTACTGGTTTTAGTTTTTCATTCTGGGATAAGTAAAATGCTTTAGAAAGGTCATTCAGGTTGTGCCACATGTGCGCTTTGGACCAGCAGCTAAGGGATATGAGAAAGGAACATTTCTAACTCTAGATGAAGCAGCTTTGAATAGAGCAACTGTACATTGTCATTTTAAAACTTTCCATATTTAGCTATACTGTCTGTTTTTGAAGTCATTATTTTGCATTTCCATTTCTTCTTTTTTCCTCTGTTTAGATGCTCCAAAATTCACAAAGATTGAAAAAGAAAAGGAAGAGCAGCATGATGAAGAGACAAGAGTGAAACTGAGCTGCATCAGTCAGTGCTATCCTGAAGTCACACATTATTCATGGTACCAGAGGATAAACAAAAAAGAGAGCAAAAATGTAGCAAACGGTACGGATATTTTTGTGAGATCAGATCAGCCTGGGGAGTACTACTGCGTCGCAAAAAATGAGATTGGTGAAAGATCATCTGAGCCAATAAAGCTATTTGACGGTGAGTGAATTCCAAAGGCATTGACCTGTATCTCTACTGTGCATTATTTTTTATATAATAATACATTTAAATTATATTTTTCCTTTTTTTAATACGTATATAAAATTTTGTAGTGGTGTAGAGTGGGGTCATGTTAACAAGCCATCAACATTTGTTTTAACAATATTACATTATTTAATAAGCTCAACTTATTCATGTCCAGGTATTTACAAATCAGTGCCTATTATCCATCACCTACTCTTGCATAATGTCTGTGTAATCAAAGTAAACATGTGTCAGGTTACCCTTATTTGAAAAGTACATTTAAACAGAACAAAGAAAAAAAATCATACACACAATGTGTGTATGCCCTTAAAAGTAACACTGCCCATTGAGCTGTCTTGGTGGAGGTTTGTGCTCTTTGGGTGCTTTTTGTTTTTCTGTGCTACCTGTTCACAAATCTCTCTATATACTGATGTTCTGTCTCTTCTAACCGCAGACACAGTTATGAAGATTGTGAAGATCTTCTCGCTTTGTCTTATTTTTCTAATTGTATGCATACTCATCTTTTTGTACAGGTAATATACAAAGTAAATAACAAATAGTTTCCATTAGAGAAACGTGATCGGGTGATTGGCCTGTATGACTGCTCTTCTGCCCCTTTGTTTACAGACGCAGAAGGAACAATTTAATTCAACAAAGAACTACAAATGTGTGGTCCTGCAGTAGTTTTCTGGTATTAACTCATATGTTAAATCTTTTGAATTGTTAGTGAAATGAAACAAAAATGATGCATTTCCATCTGTGAACTTAATCAGGGTTCCTGGAATGGAGTCAGCAGGAGCAGCGGCAATCAGAGTGGTTTGGCAGAGCCGTTCAGGAGCAGAGATGACCTCTTGCTAAACCAGCCATTTCAACCAAATGCCCAACGACCCCAGCGTCATCCAGACAGCACGTAAGTCTGCAGCAGTTCGCACTGTCCAGCTCAGAACAAGGGACTCATTGTTGGCAGGGGAGCTGGGTGCTGCTGCTCACTCTTTCGTCAAAGCACCCATTTAACATCATTCAGTTATGAATGGCACACTGAGAGTCTGCTCAGCTTTTGAATGGTTCTGACTCTGATTCTGAATGTGCATTTTTTATTTTTAACATCATTATTTTTCCACAGGACTGCATCCAACGTGAACACCGTTTACTCTGCTGTGAATCTGCCCAAAAGCAAACAGGTGATCCAATCATATCAGAGCAAGCTCAACAAAGACAAATCCATTTACAAATGAATAAATAAATGAAACTTTAATAGTGACAATATTAAAGTATAATGAAAGTATACTGAGAAATGGGTATATTTCAAAGATTACCTGTTCCTGTTTTACTGCACAGCCTCTTTTCATTAAACAGACATAAAACACTGCACAACTGGAAAAATCAAATGTATATATTATATACATTTAAGTTAAACATATATTGTTAACTCTTCTAACTTCTAATTATGCCAGTGAAAAAACATCCTAATGTTTTATAAAAATCATTCAGACAAATGACCTTTATCAGCAATGACCTTTATTAACCACTAAAAACATGTTTCCGTACTTTAGAGGCTCTGTAGAAAATAATAAAATAAAAGGTCAAGAGTAGTTTTATCTCCACTAATCCAGCCTTATGCTTATGCTGTCCCTTACTGTTAATATATATCTGTCAGTATAGTTATTAATTATCCTTCATGTAAGGCATGAATGAACTGATTCAGTTGCTACTCTACATTCATTGACAAGTTCTCTCTGCATTTGCTCAGGCTGCCTCTGCACAAAACCCAATCAAAGGACATGGTGGAAACATGGGAAATGATTCTCTCAACTACGCTTCTGTGTTCTTTGTGAATAGAAAAAAGTGAGAATTCAGTTTTGCATATAAAAGGAGCCTAAATGATATGTTATTACGTGACTTCTTTTATGACTATATGTTTTTCCCAGGGATCCAGAGGAGGATGCTGAGTACTCTGTGGTGTCAAAGCCTAAGAAGTCAAAAGTGGTAAGAAAGCTCAAAATGCCTTTTTTTCCCCTGTATCTCATTCGGTTTATTAGCTTATTTCATTGTATTTGTATTGTATTTGTATATCATATACTCATTGTATATGATATACAAATACAAATAAAAATCATTGTAGCAAGGAAAATTAAGTTAAGGCAAAGTAAAGAATGAAAATGATCTTCAACAAGGGTTATTTTTGTACATCAAATCCAGACACTATCAGAAATTATGACACTGTTTTGTCACTTTTTGTCATCTAGACAGAACAAGAAGTGCAGGAGGACTATGAGAACATCGGCGAAGAACTTCCACCCAAACCTCCATATACATATAACTTTGACTCAGACACAGATACAGATACCAGTGAAGATGAGGTGGAGGTCAACTATGCTCATGTGAACATTAAGCCAAAGTCTGACCACCAGCGAGCAAAGAAAGACTCCAGCAGCAGCAGCAGCAGCAGCGAAGATGAAACTGAGTACTCTCAGGTCAAAATTTGACTAAAAATGCTTTGATCCTATTCAGACATCTCTGCCAGTTTGTGCCATGGACGTTCTGAAATATATTTGCCAGGCTAACTATACTGAACAAGGCTTGTATTACTTCATTGTTTCTTTTTTCCTTCCTGGGATATAATTTTAGCTTTCCTTTATGTATAGTAATAAGTCCCCACAAGTACACAAACCTATCTTTTTATCACAGATGTAAGACTGTTGGGGAAGTGTATATGGATAAGTGATAAAATGAAATGACTGCTGTTGTAAAATTGTGCTCCCATCCTCTGGCTGAGTTTTTTAATGTATATATCTGTCTTGAAATGAAAGTACTTTACTGTATGCATAGATCCATTTCATAACCTGCTTTGACACAAGCTGTTGTTTGATGGCAAACTTGACTGCAGGGCCAGTTACTCTTTTAATCACATAATAATTATGCATTACAAAGTTGTCAATAAAAACAAGTGCCTAACAAGTTTTAGGTTGTACCTGGTTCTTACACACTGCACAAAGTTTTTTAGAATTAGACAAAGGTTAGTCATATGCATATAGTTAAAGATTCAACCTCAGCATACAGATATGTCTTTTTTTTTCTGTCACGCAATTTTTACTAGTAAGACAAGAGAAGAATTTACAGTCGAGGATCAAAACCAGGGCCGGAGGGAATGTCCAAACTCCTGGGCTTCTGCTGTCAATTCCTCTAAAGCTAAGTGACCACTTTCTCATCAACCCTTCGTGTAAGTCCCTTAGCATCTTTCTCTCTTCCCAAATGAGCATCTGCAAGTGAAGTGTTTCTTCCTACTTTGCATCTCCTCCATTGCTTGGTGCTTCTCGACGGATCTCAGAATCCACACCAGTCTTAGAGGCCAGGCCTTTGATCTCACCTTCCCCGAGCTTACCCTCTGACCTGGCCTGAAGTTGAGCAAAGTCCACATCAGCATAATGGAGAGAGTCATCCTTGTATTCTGCTGCTTCCGCCTCAAGAACGGCTTTATTGACATAAATCACATCTGCCTTTGAAGAGTTAGTCTACAGAGAAACCACAACAGTGTGTTTCAGTAACACAGAAAAGATGTGTTTTTTTCTATTTCAATAATGAGGTTCACTTTAACTGTGTTTTTTTAAGAGCATATGTTTTGGCATAATATATTCATATTTACTATGCAAGAAAATGTTTATTTTATCATTCAAACAGGACACACGATTAGCTCAGAGAGTCAGAATATGTTTTGGAGTCTAAAGAGCTTGGAAAGAAAGAAGTTTCTTGAAGACGTTTCTTTTCTCAGCCAAGAAGCTTCTTCCTCTTTCCAAGCTCTTTAGACTTGGTCTTTAGACCACGATGACCTGGATGACTGAGAACCTCCACAGACAATATGTTTTGGTGTTTAAATCACACTGACACATTGGCAAGTACACAGGAAGAGCTGAAGGCAAACTCATTCTACCACAAGTGGGGTTTTTTTTCTTCATCTAACTCATACATATGCATCAACATAGACTCACCTCATTGGTGACTAAACAGTCTGAAATATCCACAAGTCCCTTGTCAAGTGAAACATTGCCCTTCCTTTTCCTGCAACCATCACAGAAAGGTGAAAGGTTTAATTCACATTAAAGATTTTACATTGAAATATGCTTTAGGAAAAATACTTTCTCCTGGAAAATTCCTTGCCACAAGATTAAAAACTCTAAAAGTCGTTATCCCCCTGATAATGTTTTGATTTTGTCATAATTCATGTATTACACGTGTGTTTTCAGCTTCAAGGTGGGCAGATAAAGTTTCATCAGAAGGGTGCCTTGTTGGTAATGATTTGTGGCAGCTGTGGTTACTCTATAATTAGTCAGCTTACAAAAGGAACCTTGAGTTATATATTATCATTATATATGATAATCGTAACCTACTTTGAAAATATCTGGTACCAGTGTTCTGTGTTCCTCACCTGCAAAGGCATATCAGTAGCGGTATGAAAACCAGCAACATCCCCAGTGCTCCCACTCCAGAACCAATCAGCAAAGAAAGAGTATGGAGGACTTAAAAAAACAAAACAGTCATATCAATCACTAAAAGATGCAAATGACACAACAGAAAAGCCAAATATAAAATGAAGCTTCCTACAGATTTCTTTACCTAGCTGAGTTTCACTGGAGGATATATTGAAAGCTATACTATCAGACCCCAGGGAGTTGCTGCTCAGGCACACCAGAGAGGGCATGTCTTGGCCCAAGTAGTACAGAGTGATGACGCTCCTCACGCTCGTGCTTCCCAGATTTACTTCCCGAATTGGGATATCAGCAGAGTGATTGACAAGCTCGCCAGCCAGCTGCCAAACCAGGGAGGGAAGCGGGTTCCCCTGAGTGTTACAGGTACATCGGATCTGGGACAAAATCTTCACACAGCGGGAAGAAAATAGGATCTCTGGAGCAACTGAGACAAAGAAGGTAATGGGTTAACAGAATAGGCTTATGGGCGCTTTTCTTGGGGAAACATAAAGGCTTCAAAGGAATGAAAACAAGATTAAGAGTCTTACATGTGACATCAATGCTGACAGGCTCTGAGCTTTCAGCTCCATGGACATTCAGAGCTTCACAATGATACTGATCATCTGAGAGTTTGGTCACATTGAAGGTGAAGTGTTGCTCAAAGCCCACCGCTTCCTTTTTCCTTCCTGCCACCTGGAACCAGGTGAAGTTCACCGCTGCTGGATTGGCGATGCTTGTGCAAGTCAGAGTCACAGAGCTGCCATCCAGCACAGGACCAGAAGGATCAACAGACACTGAAGTATTTTTAGGAGGATCTGAAAGGAAAATAATGTTCCTTGTTAGTATTGCATCCGAAGACTTTTTTTTACTTGTTTGGGAATGCATATTCAGCCTTTCAGAAAATATATAAATTAGGATCTTCTGGTGCAAGTTTTAGGACAGAAAGTTATTAATTGATATACATAATACTTTTTTTCTTTTTCATTGTGATTCATATTATTCCTTTTTGATAGAATTAAATGTGTTTTGCTTTGGGGGGGCTTTAATCATACTTTTCTGTGCTCTTACAGCTTGATGAGGACACAAATTAAACAAAACAGCTACACATACATTCAGACACTGGCACACATGTGGACACAGTGGAGCTCAGTCATGATGGACTCAGAAGGTTTTGAGGTTGTCACGCAATATGACAATGTGTTACTGTCCATAGCTCAGACACTAGTGTTGCCCTGTTAACAAGTCTTGGCCCCAGATCATGTTGGGTTGAGCACAGCTGGATATACAGTAGAGCCATGTTCAGGACGTGAGCACACTGTAGACATACAGTTCTGTTGTTTGTTTTCGGTGTAAATCAATGTCTTTACTGTGTTAAATTAACTCACACTGAATGTCCAGCTGAATTGCTGCTGACGTTTCCTCTCCCAGATCATTTTTGGCTGTACAGTGGTAATCACCGCTGTGGCTGGTGTCGGCACCGTCTATGACCAAGACTGGTCCGAGATCCTTATCAATCTCATTATCTCTGTACCAGGTGTAGTTGGTCACTGGTGGGTTAGAGCGGCTCGTACAGATCAGAGAAACAGAGCTGCCCTCCAGAACTGGACCAGTGGGATCGACGATTACTGTTGTTTCCCTCGGGGAAACTGGAAAAATAAACAAGCATGGGTTCAGTCTATGCTGTGATCCAACATTTATAATCTGTCTTTTTGTTTCAGGGTCACTTACACTGTACGTCAATCTGAGTGATAGAAGAATTCTGGCTTCCATGACTGTTACTGACTCCACAAAAAAACTGACTGTCGACTTCTGACACTGTGGCTGAAAACTTCTTCTTTGATCCCACCACTGACACCTCATCTCCATTCACTTTGTACCAGGTGTAGCTGTCCACGGCTGGATTTGCATTAGTGTTGCAGGTCACGGTCACTGAGCTGCCTTCTTTTACAGGACCAGAGTAACTAACTGATGTGTTATTTGGAGGATCTGAAAGAGAAATGTGAAATTGTTAATACACAATCTATCTGCACAGACAGATTTTTTTGGGCCACTCATAACCAATGACAAGCCTACAATTGGAATGATAAACATTTGTCTTTTCACATCAGCAAAATTGGATTTGTGTTTCTGGAGACCTGCCAAATGTTTACAATGTAACCAAGGGTCTATCCCAGCTGTAGAGCTTGATTGCAACTTGATTGAATGGCAAAACTGAAGCTCATTGAAACAGAGTGACTTTTGAAACTATACAAAAAAAACCCCTAAACCATCAGATTAGATGTTCTTTTATAGGTTTTTTATTATCCTGGAGAAGACCAAATCATATAATAACCAAACCAAACCAAATAATATCAGACCATAAATAAAATCATGTTATGGCATGAATGCAAACAATAAAAGAAAAGGCGATAAAATATACTCACAAAGAACACTTAGCGTCAGAATTTTTTCATACAGAAGGTCACTTTTCCCAGCTTGTCGGTTATAGACGGCAGTGCAAGAAACTTTTTGTTCATTGTGAAGGTGAGAAGCTGTGAAGTTTATCACAGAGGTCGCAGGATTAGCTTCCACTTCCTCCTCTGTGTCACCTAAAGCGGGCGACCATGTCAGAAGTGGAGGAAGAATGGGACAGTGAGAAACAGCGGAGCAGGTCAATGTCACTGCAGTTCCTTCTTCTACCTCCAGGTTCGATGGAGTTATGGTAGGTTTAGGCAGTGAATCTGAAAAGTAGAACAATACAAAAATGACATAATGAACTAAAATGTAGTAAAGATGTGGCTTTATGTGTAGAATAGCAAGAGGAGGGGACAAACTTTGAGTGGATATGAGGACACTTGAAGGAAAGTTAAACTTCAAATCATTGTCACACTGCAGTCTGAAGTAATAGTTGTCATAATGGCGTGGTGGCATGTTGTTGAAGATGGTGGTGCAGTCTTTGTCACGCAGGGTCCCAGTCAGGTTTCCTTGCTGGATATTTAAGCTTCCACTTGCACCAGTGAGGCTGGAATCAAACACTGGAGTTCTACTCCAGCCTTTCTTCCAGATAGCTTTACATGAATCATCCAGGAATTCCTCCCATTCTGGGGGCAAGGTGAATCTGCAGCGGATCAACATGCAGGATCCACTCAGTGCTTCTACAGTCTGAGGCAAGAAGACTGCCCAGTTTTGGCATAAGCTACCTGAGTTGAAGCAGCAGAAATATGACATTAGGTAAAGTAAAGTAAACATTCTAATTACTGTCAACGTAAAGGTTCTGCATTTGCATCTACATGTGAGGAAAGACTGATAAGTCCCTGGCAACATGATTGAAATTAAAATAACATACCTTGAAGTAGACTGCATATAAAGAAAACCTTTATTGCAACCGTCATATTCGTCTGATGATCCGAGTGAGGTACTGGAAACAGGACACTTTTATTGCTTGCTATAAATGTTATTGTATGGTTAACATTCAAACATGAAAATGCAATTTAGTCTTTAGGACAATCTGAGAGTCACACTATATCCATTCTACAAAATGTTGATGTTTTGCTGAAAATAACTAAAATATTGTTTTAAGCCTGTGAGACTGTTTGCTTCATTGTTTATGTAATTATTTTTTATTTGCATATGGTAATTTCCCTTTTTTAAAGGTAATAATTAACTAAAAAGAGGAAGCAATATAAATATCATCCATGATCTTATTCTTTATCCTCAACAGTATAATATTTACATTATTACATTATTACAATATGTAAATTTATTAAGGTAACAGTCTTACCTTAAAAGCCAACAGAAGTGTTCAGCATACAGTGTCTTTTCTGGAAAGAAAAAAAGTTTTAAAAAAACTAATTTGAGGTCACAAATCCTGAGATCATTTTAAAGTATACAATGATAACATTAATATTAATAAAGTTAAAACGAAGGGTTTACAAGCATTAAAGCATCAGTGGTAGTAATCCAACAAGTGAGTCATGTCAGACTGATAGTGTGTCTGGATGTCGCACACAGCTCTTGTCAGATGTGTCCGGGGAGTGGCGTGTAGCAGAACAACAAGGTTTTGATACTCTCTCTGTATTTCAGCTGTTTTAACCAAGTGCAGAATTGTGCATAATAATGCATTATTTGTATAATGCATTTGATCCCACTGAGAGCTTGAAATGGGAAAGAAAGGTGAATTATGAGCTGACGTTAATATTCTATGGCACAAAGAATAAAGACAGTTCTGGTACCTTGTACCAGCAACGTGTACCTAATAAAGTGCCTGGTGAGTGTACACAGTGATGTGCTTGGAAATAGCTCGACACTAAACTGATTTTCATATGTATCTTGTATATGTATCTTCTCTTATAAAATGATTTATTATCCATAATCAGAAGTCATCAGTGAACTCATATACATGGTTCCACTGGGGTTAAAAGAGAAAAATTAAGATTAAATGATACATTTAGAACATGAGAGAGAGGAGGCTGGATGGAGGACAGTTATGAAGAGGGTGAAGAGTGGAAAGGTAGATGGGTCAAATGATACATGTGGGGAGATATACAGGTGTCTAGGAGAGAAGACAGTGGACTTTTTAACCAGACTCTTTAACACAATCTTGGAAAGTGAGAGCATGTCTAAGGAATGGAGAAGAAGTACAGAGGTGATGTTTTTCAGGAGCAAGGGTGATATACAGAACTGCAGTGACTACAAAAGTCAGCAGAAGCAAGACGTGTGTGGGTAAGGGAGACACGTGGAAAGCTGAACATGTTACGTACGAGGTAATGACGGTGAATGAGTTTGAAGTATCTGGGGTCAACCATCCAAAGTAACTGAAAATGCACAGGAGAGGTGAAGAAGAGAGGGTGAAGGTAAGGTGGGGTGGAGTGGGTGGAGTTCAGTGTCAGGTGACAAGGCAACGGGAAGGTTTACAAGATGATAGCGAGACCTGCTGTGTGGTTTGGAGATGGTGACACTGATGAAAAGACAGCAGGCTTCGCTGGAGGTGGCAGAATTGAAAATGCCAAGATTTTCACTGGGAGTGACCAGAATGGACACGACTAAAAATCAGAGTGACAACTCAGGTTGAGCAGTTTGGGGACAAAGTTAGAGATAGTGTAGACATTTCAACCTTGCAGAGAAGCAACAGTCGCTAACAGACAAAGGATGTTGTTGATGTAGTGAAGGAGGACATGCAGAGGGTTGGAGTAACACGGGAGGATGCCAGGGACAGGGTGACATGGAGCCAGATGATCTGCTGTGGCAGCCATTAAAGGGAGCAGCCGAAAGAAGAAGATGACAAGAAGATGACAAACTGGATCATATCTGTAACTTCCACATTCCTTCGTCAGAATTATTTATTATTGCAACCATCTTACAATAAAAATTTATTATGAATAAATGCAGAGAAAACATTTTTTTTTTATGAATAAACTTTTAATAGTGCATAACAGTGTATGTCTTCATTTATTTGAAAATCAAACCCATAAAAATTTCTGAATAATAAATAATTTTAAAAATGTCATTTACAATGTATCTTTAATAAAAACTGAGAAAAATTTGGACATTTTAATGGGAACATCTGACAATATAAAGCAATCCAAAACATATTACAACACAAAACGGTCACAGTGTTTAACCTCGACGTGCCTCTGTAATTTAAGTACACTTATTTTTGGACTGTTACAGTGGAATGCATAGTATTGCACAGGAGTTGTTATTATGTTCACCACCTGTTGTAGTGTATTATTGCGTAGTGTACATCATTCTTGTAATGCTGGATTGTGACCAGGAGAGGGAGGTAAAACTCAGCTTAACACCTCCCAGTAACAGACACCCATTGTGCAAGCTGCTGAGTGAAGCTGCTTGTGGATTGCAGCTGGTGAACCTCTGTCGCCATCAATCACTCTGTCAGTAACAGTTTCCACAACTCAGTTTAACCACATCTGTATCTCGTGCACTTTATTCACATATTCATGAGTCCAGGTATAGAATGAGCTCCTGAGGTGGATCTTCAACAAAATTGGACCTTAGACAGTAGGGAGGGAAACACAACCCTCTTGTGCTGCCTGCCTAGAAGCAAGGATTGTAAATTCAAAAGTTAATAACGACTATGCTCGTCTGTTGCTGTGACAATAACATCCATCCAGATCCGCATGGACACTGCACTGGAAGCCACCAGAAAGAACAGTCGGTCATATGTCTTCACACAGAACGTCAGACTGGGCCGTGGTGACTAAAAAGAAGGCACAGACAATGAAACCGTCATCAGCTGATGAAGAAGCAGCTTTTTTTTGCTTGGTGGTAATGTTTTTTTTTGTTTTGTTTGTTAAGATATACCAGTCAAAATTTTGGACACACCTTCTATTTTAATTGTTCTTCTTTATTCTTATGACTATTTACATTGTAGATTCTCACTGAAGGCATCAAAACTATGAATGAACACGTGGAATTATGTAGCAAGCAAAAAAAAAAAATTATATATTCTCCAAAACAGCCCCCCTTTGCTTTGATTGCTGCTTTGCACACGTTTGGCATTCTCTCGATGAGCTTTATAAGTCATCTGAAATGATTTTCCAATAGTCATGAAGGAGTTCCCAGACATGCTGAGCACTTTGCTTTCACTCTGTGGTACATCTCATTCTGAACCATCTCAATTGGCTTTATGTCAGGTGACTGAGGAGACCAGGCCATGTGGCGCAGCACTCCATCACTCTCCTTCTTTGTCAAATAGTCTTTACACAGCCCGAAGGTGTTTTTGGGGTCATTGTTCTGTTGAAAAATAAATGATGGTCCAACTAAACGCAGACCGGATGTGATGGCATGTCGCTGCAGGATGCTGTGGTTGCCATGCTGGTTCAGTGTGCCTTCAATTTTGAATAAATTCCCAACAGTGTCACCAGCAAAACATCCCCACACCATCACACCTCCTCCTCCAAGCTTCATGGTGGGAACCATGCGTGTAAAGAACATCCGTTCAGCTTTTCTGCGTTGCACAAAGACACAGCGGGTGGACCCAAAGATCTCAAATTTGGACTCATCAGACCAAAGCACAGATTTTCACTGGTGCTAATGTCCATTCCTTGTGTTTCTTGGTCCAAACAAATATCTTATGCTTATTGCTTTTCATTAACTTGCGGTTTCTGAGGCTGGTGACTCAGATGAATTTATCCTCAGCAGCAGAGGTGACTCTTAGTCTTCCTTCCTTTCTGTTGTTTCCCTTTACTTAGCTGATTGGTTCTTGCCATAATATGATTCTAATAGATGTCAAATAGGGCTGTCAGCTGTGTACCAACCTAATTTCTGCACAACACAACCCCATTAAGAAGGCAAGAAATTCCACAAATGAACCCTGACAAGGCACACCTGTGAAATAAAAACCATTCCAGGTGATCATGAACCTAATTGAGGGAAGGTCAAGTGTTTTCAGCATTGTCAACAAAGCAAACAGTGGCTTCTATCAAGAATCTAAAATGCAAGGCGTATTTAGAGTTATTTATCTTTTTTTTTCTTTGCTAGATAATTCTATCTATCTATCTATCTAGATAGATAGATAGATAGATAGATAGATACCATTAAATGAGAAGGTGTGTCCAAACTTTTCACTGGTAGTGTATATCCGAGTAAAACCGCTGCCCAGCAGAACAAAAGTCTGGTAATAAGAGATTAATGTTACAATAATGTTTGCACTTTTTAACCATCTTTCTAATTTCTGTCTTGCAGCATTAACTTAGCCTCTATTTGTTGTATAAGTGCAGACTGATAATCACCTGCACACAACTAAGAAAAGAACAAGATCTTCTGACCACAAACTATTTCCCTGAGGATTTTCTTTTCCTCATTTATTCCTACATGGTGAATAAGGTCACTGTAAGTAAGAGGGTTGACACTATTACTTTCTTAGAAGATGCCAGTGAGCACCAAATAAAAGTCTTACTAAGCAGTACTAATGTTACCAACAACCTACCTTTGATTTCTAGTCTATTCAAATACGATGGTACATGTATCAGGTCATATCATATAAACAAAACTATTTGGAAATATAAGGTAGCAAAACAAATTTTGCAACTGGTTTACATACTACAATAAACTCAAATGCACATGTGTGTACCTGTGATAGTCATCTTAATTCTACTTGAGTTGTTTTGTTTGTGTTAACTGTACGTTTCAGGAGAAAGAAAATATTTATTGGACTTCCTCTCTGCGCTATATGTAATATATTTAATAATCATTATAAATATTGGTCCTGAAAACATTCTGTAAAGAGATTCTAGAAATATTTTTTGAAAGTGTTTTGGCGGATTTATGACTGGATGACATGTCAAGAAATGACTTTAGAACGTCTACAAAATGAGTCCAGTGCAGTTTAAGCTACATTTACAAACTGTTGCCCTTCTGATCCAAGGTCTGTGCTCAGGAACACGTGAAAAACTTCACAGATTTATTTAAAGTCCAGTTGTGTAAAATATGAGAACTCACAGAGGTGCCTGTTCGTAGATGGTCGTAGTAAACTTCCTCTATTGCTTGGAAATAAATGACTCCCTTTAGCTTCCTTTCATCACAGTCTGCAGCAAAGGTAAAAAAGGAATTTTAGAACATTAATATTGAATATTTAAGTCAATGTGAATTTAAAAAAAAATAATTCCTTGTTCTTTCTACAAAGCACAATAAAAAGTAAGAAAAAAGAAATTTAAAAAATGTTTAGAATAAAAAATTTGATGTGATGTAATCTTATAATAAGTCTGACCACCTCCTAGCGTGACAGAGAAAGGTTCATTCAAACAAAGAGGCAAACACAGAGTCAGCGAGCACACCCCTCCAACCAGTCTAACCTGTATAGTAGGCTAGTCGTCTGTGGTCCATGTCAAACAGGAACCATCTCTTCTTCCAGGTTTTGACCCTCCCCCCTCGTTTGGTCAGGAAGCCCGCACAGCGTCGAGACGTCAGCCGCAGTTCCGTGCAGCCAGTCACTCCATGACCCAGAGACTCCACATGGGCCCTCAGGTCAAAGTTTGGAGAGAGGAAGAGGGGCAGGCTACGCTGCTGGAAGACAAATGGACTTTAAAGAAGCTTGAAAAACACAAAACAAACAGTCAATTTACCATGATAGACTGACTAGTTCCTATTGGAGTTTATAGTGGTTACACTTGTTTTAGGTCCCCAAAACCCCAAGGATGAGATGATAAAAATGTAAATGTCTTGGTTAAAGATGTTGGAAGTCAGTTAGTTATAAAATCATGAAAAATGAAACAGAATAACAACAAAACAGGTGACATAAGCGTCAAAGCTTGTCTTTTGGTACTGCCAAAGAAACATTTTATCCATTCTCCTTATCAGGGAAGGAGTCAGGGTACCCGGAGAGAACACACGCAAACACGGGGAGAACATGCAAACTGCACACAGAAAGGCCCCAGCCAGTTGGTGGATTCAAACCTCTTGCTGTGAGGCAACAGTTCTCAAAACTAATCTAACAATCCCGCATTACAGTTTCGTGGAAACTCCTTGTATTGTGGGTAATGTCAGCATCAAGTCTCGACAAGAACATCGAGAATACATGGATTAAAAGGACTACATATGTGTGTCTGTTGCATTAGGTTTAGTCATTTTATAAGGAAAACAAAATATTTTTTTCACTAACTTATAGTTTGAATTTCATTCATACCTCAGAGGAGTTTGGGGAAGAGATGACCCTTTGTTGCTCTTCTGGCTCTGGTCTTTGTGGGGTCTCTGGTTCTGGTGGTTCTGTTCTGGAAGAATTAAGCTCTCTTTGTCTTCTCTCCTCCAACAGCAACTGTCGCTGATCTTCCTGAGTTCACACGCACATCAAAACAAATTATTATCCAAACCATTTCCAAGGTAACACAGTAAGATGGAAACGACACTGGTTTAACCCAGCTGGAGGTATGCATCCAAAAGCATAAAGGAAACTGAAATCAGAGTTGCACTATAAATCCTCCCATTCCTTTTTTGAAATTCTTTGAAACTCTTAGTCAAATGCATGCACATTTTTTTAGTTTCTCCAACTGCCAGTGCTACAAACATGCATTACAAAACTCCAAACATCTGCTGTCTACTTTCCTGGAGCTGAGTGGGTGTCAGTAATCAGACAGGCGTATCTAATTCAGTGTGTCGCTGATGATTAGAGGTGTCAGCGAGTGTTTCCCACAGCAGGTTACTCACCCGCTCTCTGAGCAGCCTCTCTCTCTCTGCTTTGGCTTCCTTCAGTTTCTTCTCAATCTCAATGAGATCCAAAAGGCATGGACTGTAAGAAAAAAGGAATAATATAATTGAGTACAAAAGCCTTATACAGTTAGTTTAAATTAAAAAAAATATTCTTTAGAAAATGATCCAATTAGCTGTATTTGTTTAACAAGTTATCAGTAGAATTAAATGAACATATGAAGCATAATTAACCAGACTCAAGCTTATCATCAGCAAAGATTGAGCTAGTGTTTAACAGGATGCGACAATGCAAAAGGCCAAATCATGTCATGTGCTACATCATGAAGTGCTCCTGAAACCCATCATGTAGTACGTCCAATACTATTCAATGAACAGACTTGTAACACCAGTGCAATCACCTCAACCGACACCTAACCTTATCTTCTGCTGCTGCGCAAGCCCCATGTTCATTTGCAAATGTTTTATCATTAACAGACAGCTCTACACCCCGTTTACTTCCAGTAACACAACAAAGTACGCCTTCAACTGTTGCTGCTGTTGTATGCAAGTTCACAACAGTGTTGCTAACGTCGTTTGTTAGTAAGCCAAAAAACATAAAATAATCTGGTCATTTTGGCCCAATATGAAATCCATCCTTTGACCATTATTCCAACTGGAAAAATTTATAATGCAATATAGTAAAACTGCTCAACCAATTACTGAATCTAATATGGATAGAAAACAAAACAACAGCCGTGGGAAAATGGTTAATAGCAAAATGTGGTTGCTCCCACTTTGATTTTACACCCAACGTGGTTTATATTGTGTGTTTATGCAATTTTGGCCTGATTAAGAGGGTTTCTTGTTGCATTTTGCTGCCACAATGTGTTTGAAAGTATCCTAATTTATCAAAAATGGTTTTATCTGCTATAGTAAAGACATAACAAACAGAAACTGTGGTCATGGAGCAACCTGATGCCAAGTGGTTATAGTACCTTGTGTGTCTGAAAATATACTTGATGACCACAAACCAGGACCCACTAATTAATAGTGTCAAATTATATATACATATTTTTTGTATTAAGAATGTGAATTATGGTGCAAAAACCCTTCACAAGCTACATTTCTCCACTCAGTGGGCCAAAAGAATAGCAATTAAAATCCATTCTGGTTGCATGTGAATATAATTATTTAGTACATGAACTTTGAAAAATGCATTAAAGAGCCCCATTTGCTTTTTAAAAAGTGAAGACACTGACCTGGCAGCACGAGAGCTTGTTGTACTATTACATGGAGTTAGGACTCCACCACCATTGCTGGCCCCAGGTCTGTGCCCATTGCCGTGCCCACTGCTGTGCCCATTGCCGTGCCCACTGCTGTGCCCATTGCCGTGCCCACTGCTGTGCCCATTGCTCAGTCTATGGGACAGGACAGGGGATGTGAAAGCATCTGGGGCCTGGCTGTCAGGATGCATCCTTACCAGCACTGAAAGTGGAAGGAAATACAAAGAGACATGTGAGAACAACATGCATAGGTCAGCATAAATAGCTTTTTATATTTTCGGCGTGAGAGAAATCCGTCATGTGGTATCAAAATGTTAACTCACTCATTTTATATTTTACATACAAGAAGAGTCAGTTATGATTTTCAGGAAGAGACTTAGAGGATTAAGAAGAAGAGCAAACTCCTGACAAGACGTGACATGACCCTGAAGATCCGGCTACTATTAAATGACAGATAGATGGGCATGTGAAAAACAGATACTACTGGGGAGATTTTAGGCTTAAGTATATGGGTGATTCTCAGGCTCATCTGGTCTGCACAGGCAAAACCAATGTAATAACGACCTGCCAACTCTACTGACACGCCTTTGATTTGACTAAAAGGGAGGGAACTGAGCAAACAGACCAGACAAAATGAGCACGAGGGTGCAGAGAGAACATGTTTATTGTTCCATATCACAAACATCTCAGCCTGAGCAATCAGGAGGACAAAGCGAGGTAGAAAAATTGGACTCACCCTGTGCTGACACCGGCCTGTCGTTTAGTCTGTTATTGCGATGCGAGCTTCGTCTCCTGGGCAGACTGACACCTTCTTTGCTTGGATCCTAAAAAAGAAAAAGACAGTGTGCTTAAAGTACATTCAAAACACAGACACTGTCATCTCAGATCTTTCTGTTAGCTATCAGCACATGTTTTGGAAATCAGTAATTGAATTAAAGCACAAATGTCAATTATGACATTAGACCAACTGATGAGGTTAACTGTTGCAGAAACAAAAAACCAAACCTCTGTGACAAGCTGCATACCTGCGGAGGCTTGTGAACCGTCAGAGGAGAAAGAGACATCATGCAGGGAGCTGAGCTGGTGATGTCAGACCAGTCGGTGAGCGGCTTCTTGTCTTTGCGAACCTGTTTGAAAGCCAGGTTTAAATTCCAAACCTCAGTAAATCATCTGTGATCAACACTGGCTACAGGGTACAAATATAATCTGTTCATTTTCACCAACTGTAACCGTAAAGCAAAACACATTCTCAGCATACCACATCTGCCTGAGAATTAAAACTTCCAGGAGGGATCGTAATGAGTTAAAAAATTATCACAGCTCCACTATCTTCCCCTCTATCCCTCCCTCTCCCTGCTTGACTCACAAACACATGAGCAATTCAGTCACAACATGCAGTCCACTGTTTAACCCTTGTCCGTCTCTTTCACTACTCAGCACAACAGCACATGCTGGCAGCAGACGTGTGGCTGTTAAACATGTGCTGCACATACATCAGTGTTGTTTTCTAAGGGATTTGGTAAATATTCAAATGCTTTCTTGACACAATATGATCCAACTGTTTTCACAAATAAATATACAAATATACAAAGACACAAACAGCTCAGAGCACTAAAATTTCCAACACATCTGTGACAAGCAAACCACATCCTGCATGCAGTCATATTAAAGTCATACACACTTGGCCATGTTGTCTGACACTGCTTCTCCCTCTCTCCTCTTCTGTACTGCCACTCCCTTCTGCCCTCCCTTTTTCAGTCCCCTCTCTTATTTACAACAGCTGATGAACTTCACATTAATCCAGTTTCATGACGGACGCTATTTTAAAGACCCTCAGCCACGCAAATCAACTCGAGTACAGTCATTTTACTTACCAATCGCTGCAAGGATGTGAAACTTCTCCCAGCTTGCCTTCTCTCTCTCTCTCTCAGACATCCACACATTCACAACTGCAGCACCCTCCCTCACGTTGCTTACTCCTCCCCCTCTATCCCTTTCCCTCCCTCCTTTTAGCCTGAGTTAATCTCGCTCTCTCTTACTCTCTCTCTTTCTCTCTCCCCTCCTCGCTCACTCTCGCTTCCTCCCTCTGCTTGTCTCATTTTCCCTTTTACTCATCCAGATCTTGTCTCCTGCTCTTTTTTTTTTTTTTTACTGGTGCAATCATAACTCCGATTAAATGCAAGCCACTGACTGTGTGATAAAGCCACAGCATAGTTTAATGAGTCACACACACAGTAAATCACACACTTTGGGGCAGAAAGTACTAACAATGAAAACACATAACACATGACAGCGTGGACTATACTCAGAGCTGGATAGATGTTTCACGAAACTGAACTGAAAAGAAAGAAACAGGTCATGGACACATGTTAGACTTTTGGAAATCCTTCACTACTCACAAGTGATTTTGAGATTTGGATCCAGCTTTAGTTTTGCTGGCAGTACAACTCTTTTGATCTTTGTTAAATTGTGCTCAGATTGAATAAAAACATATTTATGCACTTAAGGAACTGTAACCAGTAATAGAGGTTGTTTAATTTGTTTCAGGTTTTTAATACCTAACTTAATATATAGGTTTATGCTACTGCAACAGCAGCATTTATCTGGAGTCAGTCTTCCCTGTACATTACAAATAATATTGACTCTCGTGTAACTTTGTTTTTCTCTTTACTGCCTCACGGTGTTAATATGTTTTCTTTAATCTGCTAAATGCTCTACTTCAATCATTAACTAGCCACGAACTTTCTCTGCTGCTTGGTTTTAAGGTGTTAATCCACAGTTTGCCTAGGCTTTATTTAGTGCCTGCTGGGGCTTGAAATAAGGCTGATGAGAATGGTGCAAGTGAACCAAAAACTGCCTGAAAAGTGCAGTCTTTGTCTGTACGAGGTGGAAGCCCAACTGTTAAGGCGAATTTGTAGAAACTGTCAGGAGTAGATGTGGGTTTGAATTTCTACAATTTAACAAGTCTGGGAGGTTTGGCAGTTGGCCCACCATCCATACAAGTCTAGTAGACCAGTCACGTGGGAATGCCAATGTGGTAACCTATACAAATGCTATACAAATTCAGGGTAGTAGTGGGACACCAGCTCAGGGCTTCCCCCACAAACAGGTTTTAAAGCTATTTTTAGACCTTTTCAGACAGATAATGCTTATTGGCCTTATGTAGACAAGTACGTTAGAATGAATAACATGTTCATTTGCAGCAGTTGAAAGATATTAAATCAATGAGGCGATCATTGATAGCCCTCTGCAGGTTTGTCACTATGAACTGAAATCTGCAGACAGATTCTGTGCTGCTTAAAAAAACATTTAACTCATATCTGAACTCACTTCCTGGTTTACCTCGTTTACTACACTTTGTATAACAAACACTCATCATAAGATTTCTTAATCAGAAAATTTAAGAAAATTAGAAAACTGTTGCTGGCCTGCTGGGTCTTGATTTCTGCTGAGATTGTGGGATGGTGGGATCACAATTTGGTGTAAATAACATGAAAGCATGGATCCATCCTGCATTGTATCAGTGGCTCAGGCTGCTGGTACTGTAATAGTGTGAAATCTGCTGTAGCTGTATGATGATGCCATCTCTATATGGGGTGTTTCAAGCACCTTGTTGAATCTATGCCACCAAGAATTAAAGGCATGACGATGTCAAATGTAAAAAATTCAAATATAGCCACCGTCATTAGGAGGAGCTAGCTGCCTGCTGTGCCTTAACCAAATAATCAAATACTGCTTCCAGCATATGAAACATCAAGAACAGACAACACAAAAAAGAAATAAACAGATCGGTAAAACAGAAAAATAACAGAACTAATAAATGTGGCCATCACAATAGAAACTACACCAGTTAAATAAAGACCAAAACTTAGTAAAACCCACAGTATGACAAATCCCACCTACCATTTGGGTGTGTATGAGCTCCCTCTTCTCTTTCCTCAAGGCATTCATCTCTCTCTCTTTCTCCTTTTCCATGTCCCGCAGCTGTCTCTCTAACCGTTGGACTTGCTCCTGAAAATTCAGACAATCATTCCCATTAGTGCGAACTGGATATGGCTTCCTGTCCTCCGAGATAATGTCACGTGCTGTAGCTGATTCCTGTAGCTGGTCTGAGTTTACCTTATCTTTTCATTATGCTGTGATGTAATATTGAGTAAATATCCCCCGATGTGACAGTGCGTATGTCGCTGTGAGTAAATACAGGTCACTAAGCTGAGTCGATCTCTTCAGCCGAGACACAATGCAAATCAAATGGCCATTTTGCAAGTTAATGAGAGGCACAAGACTGACACAGGAGAGCAGGACTGGAGAAGCAACTTAAA